GATCACATGAACTTTAAAGCCGATCTTGATATGGTCTAGGAATCGTTAGTCCTGAACTTTTTTTGCAGTTCAACGTATCAAATTATTGAGTTTACCATCTTGGTTTGCCTTTGTAAACTGGAGTGTTCAGAATCTACAGGAAGCTTGGTGCGAGAAGGACATAGATGTGGATTCAGAGAGACCTCGGCTGCTTGGGACAACGAAGTGCACTCAAAACCTGGGAGCATTCGGACACTTCGGCTAGTTGATCTGCTGCTAATGTGTACCTTCAGGTGGAATATGCGCTCCAAGTCTGGTAGCAGAAACGAGATCAAACGGCTTAGGGAATTCTGCAACATAAGATAGCCAGAAATGCCAAAGACCTTTATCAATTACCCTGAAAACATACTGGGAGTGACGATGGTCTCTAGTAGTTGGTATCAACGTTTGCTGGTTGGTTCTACCATGGTTTCCTATATTTTAAGCACACATACGTTCGCGTACCACCAACCGCCTAGGCTTAATCACAGCCGTGTGATGCAGTCATTTGTGCTGCCGTCAGAACTCCTTTTCTCTACATGTTTTACAAACCGGAAATACACCCCGGGAATTCGCTATTTTTGTCCCCACAATGACATCGTTCAAAATCCGAGTCGACAGTGCACTTAGCTCCTTCTAACTTCATGCACATCAGAAACGATAAAACGCACGTGCTTAGTTAGGGATGCCGAACGTGATGACCAGGTTACACAAAACGATCTACGAAAGATCAAAGTGAACGGTAATTTAGTCGACAATTTCACAGTTATTTGCTGTTCTTGGTTTCCATTTTAAGCGCCTCCAACTACTCACCTGGTAGAAAGTGCAGCAGTTGAGTTTTTTATCCGTAACATACAACTGATCGTTGACTAACCTTGTTACTGGTGGGGAGGTGATCCTGGATGATCCGAGGTGTTCACCTCCATTGTGTTAGTTTACCTCTCACTTTTGTGCACTAATCCCTCTTTGCGCCCTATGGAATCCGTGGTTCATGGTTCCCAAGTACTGCATCTGTCAGCTAAACGAGTCAACGGAGTATTTGTTTTCGCCTTCATTTCTGGTCCAAACATACGATCAAGCCTGCAGTGCCAATTGTCACACACTTTGGCTTAAACAAATGTGCACCCCCAGCACAATTATGTGGTTATGCTGATAACCAGCTTAGACATATCTACGCTGCATTTCCTATGAGTTGCTTTTAACTCACGCCATCGAGACTTGTACCAATATCGTCAATTTTACACACATGGAACCCACGTGATAGAAATGCACCGGTCTATCGCAAGTTCACGTGTCATTACTGTGGCATCCACTTCTATTTCTCTAACTGTCACATTCACAAATTGAACATACACCTACCTTGGCCGGTTCCTTCTTCACCGTTGTTGAAGCGCTTGCCACACGAAGAAATTGTTCCCGTCGTTCTTTCGCGCTGATCCCGGAAGGCAACTCTCTTTTATCCTCTCCATGGCGAATGATGTTTTCCAGCGTCTCCGGCTCATTTTCATACACTCCACCATAGCCCTGATAAGAATAGTAGGGAATGTATATTTTTGTTTATTTAACACGGCTAACGCACAACAACACATGAGTAACAACAAAAAAGGCCGAAAAAAACCAGTCAGGGAAAAAGCTACGTGAGTTCATGTGTTGCGTGAGTATTGAGGTTCCTGTTTGCTTAGGGCAAAGAAGAACGTTGACTTAAGAGACCCCACCTCGAGTCTTTGGTCATAAAGACCTGACACGCAAGGCAGCGTGGCGATTCACGCATGTTGTTACATACGAAGATTGTTGACAGACAATTAGATCATTCGCCTACTTTGTGTTCTGTAGCAGTCCACAGGGAAGCCAGTGGTCAGCTGGGTTTCTCATTCACTTTCCGTTAAGTACTCAGCTCTGGTTATTGAAGTGAGTGGTCAGTGACCCCATAGCCAGTCATATTGCCTTTGACACACACCGTACAAACTCTTGTGATAGTTGGCTGAGAACCAAGTGACCAACTCATAACCCTCACGCTCTAAGACGCTGCCGCTGATTGTTCGCAACTGCTTACTCATCTTGCTTGCAAAGCAAACGTGACTTATCCGCAGTTACCTCTACAAGGTAGGTATTCTCCATTTCGTAACCTGGAGTCGCGCACGATAACGCACAACTCTATCGAATGACACTATGCCCTATCCATAGGAGAAGAGACGGGCGTCACAACTTAACATTGAACTTGCCCTCTACAGACTATGTGCATCAACTCGGGCTTAAATCTCACGCGGCAATGGCGATGCGTGAACTTACCTCACTGGCAACCCCCTCTGCACCAACAAACGATTGCGTGCTCACTTCGCCCTTAAGCCTAGTGGCGTTTACATTCACTATAGTATCCTTTCCTATGAGCACTAATGCAGGCCGCTAATTTTGTGCTACCTCTCTTTCGTCCATACTTTTAACACGAGACCTGTTTTGCACGTCAATACCCTAGCTGCTCTGTAATAGCAGTCCATCCGCAATGAGCAACATCCGGTGTGAGGAGGTTATCCACTTGCGCACTTCATGGATCTACCCGTGGAAAAACATCCTTTTATAAGTGGGCCATTTCTGATAAAAATTAGGGATGGTTTATTGCAGACGTCCAGAAAACGCTAAACGGCCGTTTCGTCCCATTGTGACTCGTCAACCACATACACCCACAGTCGCACTAGGAGCCGAATTCATGACCTCTCTGCACCCGCATCTTTTGCTCTTAGATCTGGGGGTGATTACCCCCAAAGGGGTAAAATGGTATTTCATGGTGGTAAAGCTAAGTACAAGGATTGGATCCTCACTAGTTCACGAAACAAAACTACTAGCAGGTTCATTTGCATCAAATCATCTCAATAACCCCCATTATTAATGCCTAGTCATTAGTAACAAATCATTAGTGATTGCTTGGTGAATTCACTTTTTTTATGTAATAAACCAAGAAAAGAAACCGATTTAGCTTGGAGCACGTCTGGCGATATTCATTAGCCGAAACAGCGCCAAATGTTATAGAAATTATTAAAACTAAGACACCAATCTTATCTCTTGATTCAAAGTGATTAAAAACTTACCTTTTTTAAGCAGAAAATGCAGCCCCTTTTTTAATTAAACTTTCTTGTGTATTTGTTTATACTGAACCCGTTTTGTGGGTAATAGCCTCAGAAACGTTGGGAACCACTTCATTCGAAGACCATGGGCGACGGCGACAGATCTTCATGACTAAAGCAAGGTAACGACTACTCAGCGGCTGCGACATGTGATCCGGTGCTAAGATGTGATTCGTCGTGGTTCAACTTAATGTCTCCTCTGTTAACTACAGGGTTATTTGATACATTCAGTCTCAATTCGGACCTCGGTTCGTAAACGACAAAATCGCTTAGGGGCTTGAGTGACACGTAAAAACTTCAGGTCCAAGCAAGAAAGAAAGTCGAGACGTCAACTACCCTACTATTCAAATATTAATCAAAATACAACATATACATACCTCAGCAACTACCTGATCAGTTCCAAAACAATCAGCCTTCACAACGTCCAAAGGAATGCAAACGGTACTTGCCACCGTACATAAAGAGTCACACGATACCGGGTCCACGATCGGACTATGGCGTTTCTTTTATTAGGTCCGTTAACCTTTGGTTCATTGGTTCACAGTGTGGGAAACGGAACGCGATGGGCTGGGCTCTTGGGGTGGCTTGGCTCAGTCAAACAGTGGGGGGGTGGGAGGAACATGGAGGTGCGTACCCCTGGGGCGGGAGGATGATTCAAGTCCGAGGTGTGTGTGGGTGGGGTGGTCTGGACGGATTGCAGTGTGAGTGAACGGTCTCCACAGTGAGAGGTGAAGTCATGGCAACATCGATATGAGTTCACATGGAGGATAATCGGTAAGCCGGCGCTCATCAATTGGGGCAGGCGTCTGCTTTGGTCATCCAGACTGAGATCCCGACATGCGGCTTGCTAATTACATAATAGTTATGTCGGTTGGCATGTAACCATGGCACATAAACTGGGTGAGCGGATAGATGGTAGGAGTTAAGAATTAGATCATGTTATTCATCTTGTGAATTACATAACACTTATGTCGGCATGCTGGGAAACCAAAGTTACGTTACCAGGACATGATTAAAGTGAGACTCACACGTTCTAATCTTGATTGCAGGTCATGGGAATCGAAGGCGGTTGATCGTGGTGCATGGCGCGATCTAATCACGAAGGCAGTTGCTGAAGTGCTGGAGAAAGCCCTCATGCATGCAGAGAAGAAGCGGCAAGCACCAATGAATTGTACTCCATCGACATCGAGCGCATGGTGCTGTAGAACATGTGGTCGCGAGTGACTTAGTCAGGCAGGCCTAGTGAGCCATGAGAGAGGTCACACGGGACCACTGCCGAAGCGACGACGGGTCCCGCAGTGAACGTAGGCAGCACCGGCGCAGCGTTTGTAGGCACGCTGAATTCGATTTACTAACCGCATGCTTGCATGCTAAGTCTCTATTTCAGGTGGTGGGTTTCGGTTCTGTCCTAATGCCTTTCTTTCTCATATAAATGTCTATAGTGGGCCATGAGCTATGCCATTAGGGGCCACTACAGAAGCGACGACGGGTCCTGCAGAGAATTGCGGCGAGACGGCGCAGCGTTTGTAGGCACGCTGAATTCGATTTACTAACCGCGTGCTTGCATGCTAAGTCTCTTTATTTTAGGTGGTGTGTTTTCAATTTTGTCCCAATGCTTTTCTTTCTCATATAAATATCTCCCTGTACTCTATTCCATTAACTTGCACACCTCGCCTAAGCCATTTGTATTCGATTTCCATAACATATTTGTGTTCGTGTATTCCGTGAACTATACTTCCTGACCTCGTGCACTTAGCTAGGATCTGTTTGTAAACAACTTATTACATATGCTATTTAATTAAGGTCTATATCACCCTTTCCTTGTGCATTAATCGAGTTTTTCTCTTCTCTTTTCCCTCTCCCTATCTCAAGTGATTGGCTGTTGTTTGATATCCCCTGTGTGGCTGCTCTTGATGTGCATGTTGACAAGGTGCCTACCTGTCTATTACCCACTACCTCGCCCATACTGGCTCCAGGAGACAGTTGGTCGTTGCTGGAGGGGACGGGAAGTACGGTCCTTGTGGCAGTGCTAGGCTCGAAGAGAGTTTCCATGCACTCAGTGGAAGTGGACTAGGGTCCAGTCACCGCCTTGTGTGCGCTTGATTCCCCGAATACAGTGTGCTTGTGTTTGCCTGTGAAGGAGTGTGGGTTGGCTCCGTTGATGAAACGTTGCTCCCATCCACATGCCTCCCGGTCTTATTCCTTCGATTTTTCACTGGATATGGGGTATGTGGTTGGAGCTGTGGGTGGTGCAGCGCAAGCCACCCATGGTCCCTCTGTAGGCGCAGGCGTCCTGTGGCTTGCCACAATGACAGGCAAATCCGAAACCAGATGCCGCCAACCATATATGTCGTGAAGGCAAGTAACCGTGGGGCATAGAGTGGGTAAACAAATAGTTGGTAGGAGTCCAGTGTTAGAAAGCGTCATACTGCATCTTGCGAACTGCTTGGTAAATTTACCGCTTACACGGTTCAATTTGAAGCGGACTTCGGTCAATGCAGTCACTGGCACGGCATGTGAGGCACTCATCGCTTGTCTGACCCTTCGTTCTAATCGATGCAACTGGGTATCCCACGCCCGTCCACTCACTAATCCTTGGATCCTTGCACATGCATCACCGCTTTTGATTGGTTCTGTCGATACGTCCGGCAAGTTGGTTCTTTCATGTGCTGTGATGCGTGAACTGTGATCATCGCCTAACACACTTGTCCAGTAGCTGACTATATGGGTTATGCAGAGTATCCATCTGAACACTCGGGACTAAATCTCACAATCACACACTACCACGTCTTGAAAGAACTCGCCGACGCAGCTGCTTGGGAATTCTCAAACAAAAGTCTCCTTGACAATGTTCGGGCAGAGTTCGTTAATAGATTCAGTGACATCGTCAACAGAGCATCAGAGACCAAGCCCCTTCGTCCCGCAAAAATACATTCAATTCTAAGGAGCAGGACTCGAAAATGCTTGGCGATAAGGGATGCAGCATGGCGTGCTTACAAGATTAACCCCGACTCAGAGACTTGGGGAAATTTCCTACCACATAGCAACAGTTCCACTGCACATGTTGGTGAGGTCAAAGTAACTTATGAACAGTGTCTAGCCAAAAAGTTCATGACAAACAACAAACGGTTATATCAGCATGTCTAATAGCTTCGTAAAGTAAGCCATTGATCTCCCTCCCATTTCCCACGACAGGCGGGTATGAGTACAAAGCGCCGATGCAGCAGCTATGCCCTGCGGCTACAACTACGCCCCAATTTTCGAACTCGCAACCTCTACGTGTCCCATAATATCAATGCACATTACCCGATTCCATTGTTTACACAGGTAATTTTCAACCTATCAATTGTGCTAAGGAAGTTACTCTCACTGCATGAGCCATAGTTCTCCAGGAGCAGACAACATCCGCCCGAAGGCACTGAAGGCTGTTGGCCAACAAGCCAGCTGACCTCTGTCACAGTTCTTCCAAATGTGCTTTGATGACAACAGTCCCCACTATGTGGAAGTGTGGCATTCTCACCCCTATAATTAAAAGCGGTGGCCGTTCAGATCCTGCAAACTATCGTCCAGTGACTCTCCTCCTTGTGGTCGCGAAGGTGATGGAAGCAGTTGTAGCTGAGGCTTTAATTGGACTACCTGCAAAAATACAACATTTTGGACCGGAACAGCAATGGCTTCCGGTCAACACACCCCGGTCATGCTACACCACCTACTGATTGCACGAGGTATTGAGACGGAGTGGCCGATGATGGGGTCAGAGTCCGACGTCATCTATCTGGACTTCTCCAAAGTCCTTTCGACCGCCGGGGATCACCGGCTTCTCTACGTCAGAAGACTACAAAGTTAGGAATCGAGATCATGTACATGGTTGGGATTAGCAGCTTCCTTCATCAACGGTATTTTCAAGTACGGGTTAGGGGATCACTCTCTAAACCAATTGAGGTAGGAATGTGGTGTTCCACAAGGCTCAGTATGCTGGTAGGACCGCGCTTATTCCTGGTGTGTTTACATCGAGCCTGGCAAGGTTATCATCCTCAATTTTCCTGCTTTTCGCCCATGACGTCAAGATATGGCTGGCATTAGTATCAAGCCAGATCACCATCTACTCCAACATGATTAGATTGCATTTACGATTGGTCACAGGAGGAACAATGCTTCATTTGACATAGGTAAGTGCAAGGTGATTACATCTGCGTCACCAGCTGGTTATGGGAGCGCTACAAGCTTGGAGACCACATCTTGGAGAAGGTCTCTCAGGAGCGTGACCTGGGTTTATTGATACAGGAAAATCTCGGGTTTTCAAAACACAAGCAGGAGAAGGCGACGAGAGACCGGAAGACCAACACTTCGGCCTTCGTCGCAGAGCCTTCCGGTCCCGTTTGATCCCTCAATATTTCCCCAAATGCTACGCCTACGTGCGACCTCACGTGGAATATGCTATTCAGGTTGGCAGCCGTGGCAGAAACAGGATCTCGTTGCTCTCCAGACTCCTCAACGACGGGCAACCTCAGCAGAGGGGCCTCTTTCATCTGCCCTATCAGCTTAGACTGAAATCTCTAAGAATATACAGCAGTCGATATCGGCTTTTGCGTGGGGATCTCATAATTGTTTACCATATTCTGAAGAAACCAAACCACATTTGCCGTCCGCTCGCTGAAATTGTAGCACAACACTAAACTAAGAGGTCACTCCTCTGAAAGTAACAATTCAGTATAGCCGGCTTGAATGCCGTAGAAATTTCTTTTCCGTCCGCGTGTGCCAGCCTTGGAACGCACTCCTTAATTATGTCGTCTCTGCTCCCAAAAAAAGAAGTTGACGATGCGTTGTGTCAATTGTATTTCATTTTATAACTTGTTAGCCAGGAGGCTACAACACGCAATCAAACGGTGTCTTACCAAACTTCTGCAATAAATAGCTATGGATTTATGCTTTAAATACGCAAACATCTCCGCTAATCCACATTAGTCTATGGTGAGTCCACCACAACGCTTTTCACTATCAGGCAATTGATTTTCGCAATAATTTCCATCCCACAGGACTTGTTAGGCAATGCTTTTTTTACCCGTAATAAACCATTGTTCATTTTTGGTTCTTCTGGAACGATACGGTCATGGACTTGCTTAACCCTATAGTTTACCCCTCCGGCAAATTGATCAAAGCGTTAGTAACCAACTCACACTAGTCGCAAGGCAAAATTTTATTTCGTTCCAGGTACCTGGTCGGCATTGATGACCTCGCACGCTATCTGTCAAATTGATCGATTTCATCCTGATTATAAGCATACTGGAGTCCAACATGAATTCGTGTGTCTATGAACTGTCAATGTCTGCTAGTTTATGTTTACTCGGCTTAATTCGGGTTTTAAGCTCTATCGATATCATTCTATTTTGGCGCGTAATGCATTGTTCGACCATTTATCCAGCACTCAAAATCGTGAATAGAGAATGTATTCGTTTCCTCCCACCAACAACTCGTTTATGCGTATTTCGCCACCTCCGGTTACTGTTGTGTCAGCTACATTTTTGTCGCTCCTGCTTTTGCATTGGTACGCGATTCGCTGGTCCTTTGCACATATTGCCTTGTTGGATTCGTTGACCGTAACGCTTAGTTGTTCCTAAGTACACTGCAGGTGATTTACCGTATTTCTTGCATTTCGCGATCATGCAACGTGAGCTTCATCCCAGTACGTTCACTACCTTTCTACCTCTCTCCGTTCGTTCGTAGCAGTTTCGCCTTGCTATGTTGTTCTTTATATTCTACCTGAAGACCTGCTGCCTCCCGTTTTGCCATCTGACGTATCATTTGCCGTTTACACTTTAGAAGCCACACGTACCTCCTCAGCAACGAAATGTGCTGGTTGCCACCTGCTTTTAAAGCAAATGACCATAAGCTATCCTATGCGGAGACCGTAATTACTGGTGTTATCTATAAAGTGGGCTGCGGCATTTATTTGTAAGACATGGGCTGCCAGGAGAAACTCTTACTGATAATGGTAGTAACTAGTATGCCGAATTCCTTCGAGACAAAGGCATTAAACACGCTAGCACGGTGCCTTATAATCCGGCTGTTGATGGACTAGTCAAAAGGCTAAATGCACTGTTGAATGGGACTATACAAGTCATTCGGTTGTCTGAAGAGTTTTGGGAAGATGCATAGGTGTCAACTTTGGCTACATACAGAACCACACCGCATGCAGCAACGATCCAGACTCCATCAGAACTGATGCTGGAAAGAGTAATTCGAACCCAGTTGAATGCAGTCTGTAACTGAAAAAGCTGTTGACACTACTGAATGTACCGGGCGAGATACCAAGCTAAATACAGATGACTTGAAAGAACTTACCCTCCAGGAACCGTTGTTCATGTGAAACCGCCCAGTTCCCGGAAAGATAGCAATAAATTCAAACGTTCTACTCGGTGCGATCCGTGTGTACGCCAGGCATATGGAACACAAGTTTATGCAAGACGCTTGCATACGGCACTCTCTCAAACTACTTCCCTACGAGGAACTGCATCTACGACAGCAACCGCACCAACAGCGGTAAGCCTACGACTGTCAAGCCGGATGCGTCGTCCTGTCCATCGTATGTTTTGATGGGTAACTCAAATTGATACCTGCTCCATAACGTAACTGTCTTGTGCTTGTAAACGCTGAAACATTGACATTAATTGATTACATGGTAACAAACAGAGGGCGCGACAGTGTGGTGTTTCCAAATTACGCCCTACACTTGTGACTAGAATTGTACTCGCCATGGATTCGTCACGATTCAGTACGTTCACTTACTGGTTATTGGACGAATGCATGTACTTGCTTCTGATTAGTTATGCTGTCCAGGATGATTGACTTAACTTGTAACCGATGTTACCTTGCTACAATGTCCATACATTCGTTTGCTTTATTGAGTTATTGTTTTGCTCCTACGGGCACAACATTAATAAATGAGCCTTCGGTGTCATTGATCAAGTTTCGGTTGCACCATGTCTATCAGCTCTGATTATAGTTCTGGTACATTAAGTATGAGTTCTGTCCTACAAGGATGTCAGTTGGTCTAGGCTTTGAATCGGTTTTGCTTTCCGACGAAATTATGTCCTGGAAAATTAATAGACTGTCTCCCTTGTGACCGACTACGGTTAAATGGCTGACGCATATCGCATGCGTTGTGGCCACGACTTCGTTGAGCGTATCCGTGATGCCTGTGTCCCGCTCCTGCGCTTGAACTGTGATCAACTGCTATTGTCCGACCATACGAAATCCGCGCGCACAAGAATTTATCCGTCTTACCGGTATACGTCAGCTGGTCACTACAGATAGAGGAGCCCTGAATTTGAATGGATTCTAAAACACCATGGCCTCACGTTCACATCCGGCTTTGTTGTTGCCCAGCGGTTATCTTATATGCAACCGGGTTTATGTGAAAGGGAGACAGGTCTATGCAGCGCAAAAACCATGTGATTTTGATGTGCAACGTTCAGGCTTTATTTATGTTCAAGCGCGGTTTTTCGCTGACATCAGACACATCATCGTGGAATGCACCAGAACTAGAGGTTAGGATGTTTTGGAAATGCTATCATTTGTAGGTCACCCCAATTGCTGGTCAACCTTACTCTGTAAAGACAGGCGACTGAGTAGAGGGAAAAAAAGTCGAAACTCACTTCACCAACCATATCGATTTTTCGAAATTCCGGAGCTCCACTGACCTCTGTTTTTCCACTCTCTATATCCTTCCATCGGGCGCGTGTTTTGCTCGCTTCCTCGGCCACCGATTGTACTTCTTCACTGAGGGGCTTCGGTTTCGATTTGCCTTCCTCTTCTTCCTACAGGTATGCAAATGGTTTGCAAAGCTCTTTACCCAATTAGATATATGAGCAACTGAGTTGGGAAACTTCTTGAATCACATGATCAAAATCATTCTTGTAATCGTCCCCTTTATGGTAAAATCAACGGGTAGCTCGTCACCCGGAGAGTTGTGAGCAGTGCTTCAAGCACAGGCTAACGAAAGCCTATAGGCGTTTTTACATCAGTGATGATATTCGGCCTTCGATGGCTTGAATTCAACAGTCAACAAAGCATTTGGCTAGGGACCATCTGTAATGTGCCGAATAACCACCGGACATACTGGTAATCTTTATTGTTTAACCAAATTGTCTCATGTATTGTGCTCAACCCGTGCAAGTTGGTCAGCGTACTCTCGAACGGTGTGACTTGTTTGTCCTATTTTTCTATTCTTTTGGATACCAGAAGTTGATCGAGTTATCGTCTCAATTCAGAGTACATATTTACACCTTTAATCACTCAGTATATGTTTGAATGCATTTTTGTATTGTCTATCTAGGTAAATACACTGGGGCACAGTACAGCTTCCTATCTCCACTACCAATTTCGCCTCGATTCTTGAAGAACATGATCGTATTCAAATGTTTTTTGTCTAAACTCCCCTTAACGATCGACAAACCAACGACTTACAGAATTATGTTCTATCTGCTCAGTTCAGCACCTGAGCGCTGAGTGAGGGCGCGAATAAGGGGACAGTTACTAGATCACCTTTGCGAACGCAAGTTAGGGATTAAAGGACCACAGAGAGGTAAACTTCACCTTCTCACAGTTTCTTAACATTACCTGTAGCTTGAATTGAGTCCCCACGAGGTAAACGATTAGCATGGAAAACAACTCAACGCTTGTTTGTATCGGAAAAACCGATGCAGCTCTTCCGAGCTGTGCTTTAAGTAATCCTCACTTTAAGTGCAACAGCCCTTATTGAAGTCTTAAGAGATGTAAACTTATTTCTGGTTGCACGACTGAACAAACAATCTTGCAACTGATCTTTGCTTCCGGAAATTCTAAAGACAGTTTGAGTACTGTCGTTGGTCGATTTTATCCAGCTGTTGAAGAATTAGCCACAAGGTGGGCTTGTCCAACATTCTACGGAAGATTGAAACAGGAAAATGTCTCCAAACCATTTTTGTTCGTCGTAATCAGCCGACAATTCAGATAAGTCAACTAGCTATCCGGAAAAGCACCAGACGGCCGTTTCGCTCTATTGGGGCTCATCAGTGGTGCGCATCCTTCGGTCATCTGCGGAGGATCGAACCCATGACTGCTAGTGGCTCTTGCCAACTAGCCCGCAGCTTATGCAACTGCGCCATGGAGGATGGGATCCGACCATCACGAACTGTTAGCTAAATGCGATATAGCCCTATCCATCCTCCACTACCAGAGCTTACGGATTCCACAAAATGCTATGTCGATTCATAGTTGCCGTAACCGGAAGTCCTGACACCGGAAGGCTAACCGCTGTCATCTGCATGGCAGGTGCCTGCATGGCAGTGGAGGATGGGTCGGGCTATATCGCATTTAGCTAACAATTCGTGATGGTCGGATACCGTCCTCCATGGCGCAGTTGCATAAGCTGCGGGCTAGTTGGCAAGAGCCACTAGCAGTCATGGGTTCGATCCTCCGCAGAGGACCGAAGGATGCGCACCACTGATGAGCCCCAATAAGGCGAAACGGCCGTCTGGTGCTTTTCCGGATAGCTAGTTGACTTATCTGAATTGTCGGCTGATTGCGACGAACAAAAATACTCACCAAAATCCTTCCACTCATAAGTGTCCAAACTATGTCCAGGCGCGGAATCCCTTAAGGTAAGCATTGTAGTGCATCAACCGAGCACTTGCCTGCTTACTGATGCTTGTGTTGACACCCGGATATTCCCTCCGACGTTGTTTTACCCAGACAACCACAGTATGCATATATACCTTGAGGTGTGGATCTAATGCGCTTTCACTCACGCTATGATCAACGCAGTATTGGACAAACACTCTGCTCCGACAGTTCAAACTGACTCGAAGGCGGTTGTGAAGCACTACTACGAGTGAACAACGCCAAAAGCTGTTCGACTTTGTGTATACGGCATCACTCGTTGAACTATAAACCACTGTTTGTGTCGAGACATACTTTATCCATGGTAGAGCACAGCGAATACCTGTGCTTGATTCATATCGGGGTTATTAGCTCATCTATGCTACAACCGTTGCTCGAGAGCTCTTGAGACTGCAAAACCGATACTTTCAGCCGGAATCTTTACGATGAGTGGTTTGAACCTCAGTCTGGCTTCCTCCGCCTGAGTTGAAATATTAGAAACTAGTGGCCTATAGTACTGACAACGGATAACACGGAACCTGCCCGCTTCGATGATCGCCGAGTTAGCGGTGGACTGGACTGCCAACTTCCTCTGTTTGATCCAGATGGAGTCATCTGTCTCGATATCGTGATGTGCTACTGATTAACAGTATGAATTTTACAGCATTTCGCCAAATAGGCTGGCAGCCACCGATGAGATAACGACGTTCCCCACTCGTTTACCTGCAACGGGTGAACTTGAGGCGGAAACCGAAGCCGGGTACTAACTAACTGTGACCCTTCTACTCAAGTAAACTTTATTGTAACCTGTCAAGGTTAGTTGACTTTATGGCCTGAGAATCTCATCGTCTTTTGTTCACGTCAAACCAATTCACACTACCAGTGTGGATGATAGAGCAAACTTGTGATCAATTTCTGAGGAATAAAGAGAAACTACACTTTTTCGTTAAGCAGTGTTTGTTATTGATGAAAATTTCATCAGTTTGTTCACCGAAAATGGATCCGAGACATATCGGGTACTTTAGTGCACTGACGTGCCTGTGAGTGCGCTCACACTGGAAAGCTTCTATAATTCATAAGATGACGTTTAATTTGCTATCAACCTATCTTTTAGCACCGTCCCGCTACCCCATCTCGTTGTTGATAGAGCTGGTGCCTTCAGTAGAAACAGTCTCATACCAACTTTGATTCGTGTGCCTTAGCCTGATTGCTGTAATAGTTACAGTTTGGTTATGGTACCGCCTTCAGTGCATCACATAGTTTTGATCCTGAATGCACCTCGCCACGTGATTTAACTATACCGCAGCCATTTCGCCACCCTGTTGAAACTTCCTGATGCGCTCACGGGTAACAGAGCCACACAGATCGAGGGCTGCTGTATACACTCCAACTTTGTCTTGGCAGTAGCCATGTCGGATCCACAGTCACTACGTGACTGCTGAAGATGAACAGGGTTAACCAAAAGTATCCTATCTGTCTCCACAACTGCTCCATCTGCGATTGTCAAGCTGCGCGCACACGGGTTTGTCTGCGCTACCGGTACATTTCCCGGTTGGCATGGACAATCTCGTTTGAACGCAACCTACTCATTCAATTCAAGACATCCTACCACTGTCTGATGAGGGTGCTCATAATTATAAATGAGCGGTTTGTGTGAAATACTTGTTACCGATGGAATTCATGCCAACTAAACTTCGACATATGGTTAGTTCACTGACGTGTGCCACGAGAGGCGCATGGAATGTCCTCTGGTAACGAGTTTCAGAAGATGAAACAGCCATCCATTGCTTCTCCGAACGTCGAGGTCTATCTGACTGGGTGCAATTCTGCTGAGTTCCACTTATCCATAATCTACCATCATAAGTGTCTGGCGCAAATGCCGGAAAGCAGATGATTGATGAACTAGTTGTCAAAGTGATACACAGTTAATTTGCCATTTAACAAACGCAAATTGGTTCGATTTTGTGTTCATATAAAAGCTTTTGGGTGTATCATGTTGAATTATTCTCAGAGCGGTACTCGCTGCATAGTTGAACGCAAGGTAGGAGAAGATTAGCTAATTGGCTGAACAACTGCTGCGGCTGTGCTGATGAATAGACAGGGATGTTTCTGATTACCGGTTACCGCCGGAATATCAAAAATTGCCAGGTAGTGCTTCTATGCGCAGTGCGTGTAAGATTATGAAACCTTCCTCAAGTCTCCGGAAAGTCGATAAACCGACATCAAAGAGCGATAAACAGAAATTTCATAAACCAACCTGACCACCGGTCTCTTCCAAATGCTTGAATTTTGCTTTCAGATTTTTGGTTGTTTCGCCGATCACACTGAAATCGACTGGTTCCAATGTGTCGTCAGCCGTCACCACGTCGGGGGCCCTGGGTTGTGGCTTGCTCTCCAACACACCGACCGCCACGCCTTCCGGCGGCGGCGTTATTTGCTTTGGCCCTCTGGGACCATTCGCCGTCTCCACAGCCGTTTTGGTGGCGTTCTCAATGAACTTATTTTTCACCGATTCTGCCCCGGCATACTTGATTTTTGGGACACCTTTCTTCTTTACCTTTTTCTCACCGGCTTCTCCTTTCTCAAACTTATCTCTCAAGTTACCCATCCGTTGGGCGCCCATTGTCGATGTTCGCCGTTCTGGGCTGGTACCTTCCTTGGACTGCTTCTTGACGTCTGCGATGAAATATGCAAGAGGGACAGAAGGAAAGAATAGATCATATCATGTATATTTTTGGAACGCAACACCCGTTCCTCTTAAGTGGGGTTTACCAAACGCCTTTCCGTTACAGCTTGCTCTGGGGGTTTAACCTCATGAAATAATAAGAGTCGGATACGCTAGGAAGCAAACACCACACGACTGCACATGCTGTGGTCTGCCATTCGCGGTCCATGCCATTAGAGTGCATGTTCGCCGCATGAGGAGATCCCGGAAGGGATCGTCTAGATGCTGTGTTTTGTTTGGAGATTATATTACTATCAACTTGTCAGTAGTAAGCGTTTATGCGATTTTCTACAGTCAATCGGATTTACCGAATGTCTGTGCTACATTAACACAAGATGCGATGCTCCCTTACCGATACCTTGACTAAAAATGCTGCGGTGACGAGCCGGGAATTTCCGGAATGCGGTGTTTAACTCAGACCTGACCCGATTACGAAATGTAACACTTTAATCCCACAATATAAGATGAATTCATTTATTGGACGCTCTTCTCCTTAGTTCGGCAATGGTGTTTATCTGTCTGACGCCATCTCATTTCAGAATATTCATTTATATTCAGCTTGTTGTTATGAGTACGTTAAGCTCGGTGTGAGACAATAATTGACCGCTGACTGATTACTGTGGAAGAGTTGCATAGATAATCTGATCCCCCAGTTCATTTCAGCCCAACACTGAACGAGCAATCGCAAGGTACGGGGTGATTTGCATTGTGTTACTTTACCTTTCCACCTCGCCGCATAGCTAGATAAATGCGGAACAATTTGCGCACTGAATTGGACGCAACTTTTGTTGTACAACTTGAGTCGGGACCTTGGGATGAGGATTGTTTACTCTTATATAAACGTACGCTTCCACTGAATCTCAACTACACTTGCCCACGCGTAGCACGCACACATCCATGCGAACTCACATGTTTCACCATGCGGGCGCTTTTCCTTCCTTGAATTGCGCAGAACGGCTTATGTGAAAATTCGCATATATCGTCAGTCTCGGTATATAGTCGAGGTTGGACAATCTTCTATTCGCTAGGTAGTAAAAGTGCTCTACTGGAGACATGTCTTCCTTTTTCCTTCCTGCGTTCGTGTGCATCAACCATAAGAGTTTATTCGGCACATATGATAAACAGTCCGACAGGGCCGGGTGAACGAATACCAATCCGGCGTCGTTTCTAGCGTGGGGTGCACTGGAAAAACTTTCGCAGGTCTTTCGTTGATCGTCACTTAACGGTGTTAATTATGGTGCCAGCAATGTTTATTATAGACTTTAAATACCAAGCTTGATCTAGATACTTCCAACACAATAACTGGAACTAAAACACTGGAAACAGAAAACTTATGGGTTCCGTGTGGTGTGGTGATATACAGGCGCCCATAACCGTGTTTGCTAGTAACTGAAGTGCAAAAATGGACTTTATTTTGACAGAATAACACCATTATTTCGTCTGTAGCCGCTAATAGGCACTGAGTGGCATACTCAAAACACTGGGCATCACTGTCGTAGAAATTTGGTGAATCGAACATTTAATTCATCAGGTTTCGAATAACGACATTTTATTAAACAACTAAGATGTAGCCCGTTGTCCTCTGCTATTTTACCAACGACGTTGACAACAAGTGGAACAGCGTCTCAAACTGCCATTGAGTATTTGGGGGGGTTTCTTTTTCTGTGTTATCACTAATGTACTCGATAATACCTTCTTCCATTCATCAAATGACCATGATTTCACTGGAACAGTGAACTAAGGGTTACGTAACGCCGAAACCACCATTTTGACATTTGGTGTAATATTTATCAATGTAGATTTGGTAGAGTGAAAGCCTGCTGCGGTCATTCTTTCCTGAGGGAGTTGCAGTTTGCGAGGACCCTATCTGTGATTCCAAGCAGAAATCGTTACAACGGCCAGTACGACATACAGTGAGGGCAAATTAGTATAGACGAATCTCAGCTGTACACGTGTGCTTGGAATCTGTTTACTAGCGCGCTACCCACAATGCTTATCGCGTGGACAGATTAATTAACATCTTCACTCAGCCTCGTTCCGCTATTCCAGCAAGGAGTGGGAATGTGATTGATCTACTGTAAAACGACGGCAGCCCACTTTCGGTGGTGCCACACGTCATCAACTGAAGTGATTAAGTGATTCGTGAAGAAGATAACTTAGTAACACTGTGCTGCTTCTCTCTATCTGGCAGCTCTCAAGCGCTATTACCCTCACGAATCGCTACGATCTGTACAGTGACCCGAGAGATGAGCAACCGCCAATAACCAATCCTCGCAAATTCTGAATCGGTCTGCATTTATCTCACGTTTGGGATGGATTTTATGCACTAAATTGGACCACTTTCGCTCTATGGCTATCCCCAAAGAGCTCCAAATTATTAGAACCCAGAAGCACCCACAAGCTCACCGTCAATCAATTACAATTGTTTGTCCACGGTAAATAAACCAACATTTAGCGAATTTGATTGCACTAGAAAACACGAGATCTGTACGAAGCTGGATATAAATGTAGCCGCTTGGATTTTCTGGCGAAGGCAGATAACCAGACAGGTGACTTTTGTTGTGTAATTCCATGGTGAACACAAAAGCAATGTTGGAACGGGGTGCCAGTTTATTTTCTGGGCAGCAGCTGTAGGAAGTTATCCATATATGATACATTGGAAAAAGAAGTGTTCGCAATCATTTTAGCCTGGGTAGCTTTAATCGGTTGTACTATCGTACGCTCCACTGCCTTTCAGAGTGTATCGACAAAACTACATCCGACCTCACAAACTCTAGGTCTCACGTTGTGTGCTTTTTTGCACAACCTAGCCACTTCCCCATTGTTAACAACGGTCGTTTTTGCTGCATTTCAACATGGCTCTTTCCATGATATTAATAGCTCGAAAAAGCGCCTTCCACTTAGTCACTCCATTGCTGACATCCGGCAATCATCATAAAATACACCCATGTTTGTAAGATCATCAATTACAGAGTGTTTTAGAAATTACGTCCGAAACTAGGAGCGACTGCGCTGACGTGCTAACGTACTCCGGCATGCTGAATTGCCAACTCTCCAAGGGCGCAAATTGCTTTGCTGAACGTGTCGGCAGTAGAGAGACTGGACATGTGTGTCTATGACTGCAGGTCAGATTAAGGGAACCGAAATCTTTCGGCTATGAGAAGTGTGTGTTAGCCAAACACCGAAGCCGCACTGGATGTGTCATACTTCGATCGATTGGTAGTCAGCTTTCATGCAGGTGAAAAGCCAGCAAAAGGGATCCCTGTAAAATGGCTAGTGGTTCGTTGTTCTTTCAATCGCCCTTTGGACTTCGGATGGACAGTTAATTCGGTCCACTGGGAAGTGACGAGTGAGTGAGCCGATCTGCAACACCAGGACAGTTACTGTGAACTCATCGGCAATACGTCGCGCACCAAGCAGAAGTCACGTGTTAAATTCCGCACCTAATCGTCAGCCCTCGGTGGTAGAGCAGCGGACCGGAATTTCGTGGACCGGGGTTCGATTCCCCGTCGAGGCAGATTTTCGTGTGGAGTTTAATCGTGACTTCTGCCTACTGCGAAACTTACGTTACTCACAAACATCCTTAAATAAACAATTGAGAACAGCCTGGCCCTATGCAATGACCGATGGGCGCCGGTCGCTATCGCCATACATGTCAAAAGACAATCGCGACAAAAGCTGTTAAAGCCTCACGACTGGCTTCTAGCAAACTCGGTAGCTTTCATTAGACTGCTTTCGCTGCTAAGGGGAATCATACCGCCAGAAGCACTTACTAAGATTACAATCTTGTTCGTTTTACCGTTTCGATCGCGTGTGTGTTACAACTGAAAATTCAAACTTCATGGGTGGCTAAAAGCGAATACTTGACTTGACAATACTTAGATTATAGTCTGCCCCGACGCACTAGTGGTACCACTAGACAGCACACCAACTTAGTCATGAGTTCAACTATTACCCTCAATCAGACAATTGCTTGTTATACAAATTTATCATGTCTTCGACGGTGTTTCTCGTGTGCAATCGAGCATACACATTTATTTATTTATTTATTTACTTATACTTACATGAAATGTGTGAGATGTCTGTAAATATCAACTAATTGGGTGTTCGAATTACCCTCTGTCGTTTTGGCTGCGGAGCAGGATTCGCCGAATTACGTTGGCGCGCACTTTCTGCAATGTCTCCAATGAAATCCGGCTACATTCCCTCATCATGTTCTCTATCAGTTCATCCAGGCTGTTTGGTTTTGTTCTATAAATACGTTTCAAGTATCACCATAGGAAAAAATTCATGGGATTCGGATCCGGTGACTGCGCAGGTCACTCTATCGATCCTCCGCCACCGATCCAACGTTCACTGAAAGTCTCGTTCAGGTAGGCACAAACCGATTGCGCCGAATGTGCAGGTGCGACATCCTGCTGCCACCTAACGTTATACACTAGCCCTTCCGACTGTAGCTGCGGAATAACACTGATCTGCAACATTCCCATCTACGAGGACGCTAATAAATGTCAGACATTGGTACTGCTAAACAACAACCTACCGGACACACTCCTGTAAAAGAAAAAGAGCCCAATGCTTTTTCGACAAGTTAACCCAGTTCAGGCCATGAGCTTTGCACTACGTTGCACGCGTGAAGCGCTACATTGCCGTGGGTTAGTTGTTTCCCAAATATGTTGCGCATCTTCGCCATGAATACGGAAAATCGCCTCATTGGTGAACACGAGGAATGTACGTTCAGCCTGTTTAAAAAACTAATGGGCGAATTCCAGGCGCTTCTGTGATTCGCATGTGTACAACACTTGCACCTTTGTGCACTGTACCCTCGGAACTTTTTTCCTTCAATATCCGATGCGCAGCCTACGGTGTAGTTTCACAATGTGGTGCGTTTTACCGAATGCTGAGATGACTCTTACTGCATATCTCTTGTATAACCGCACAAGCTGATACT